CTTTCCCTATTTTTCTGCTGGGTTGTTTGTCTTTTTCATATTGACTTATTATTCTTTGTGATTCCTTATTACAGTGGCCTCAAATATATCCTTCTAGTATGCTGTTGATCTTTTAACTCTTGTTTATGGTGGTTTTTCCCCCAGTGTAACCAAATTTGTTTATCTTTTCTTTTATGGCTTCTGATTTCACATTGTGTCTAGACCTTCAAACAGCAATCTATGTTTTCTTCTGATAATCTTATTTATATTTTACTTTTAAATATTTAGTATACCTGGAATTTATATAAAGAAGATGTTTAACTTTATTCTTATTTTTAAAAATGATATTGAGTTGATAATCCATCCTTTTATACTGATTTGGGGTACCACCATAATACTTCATAATGTATAAGCATACACTAAATACACATGCACCTGTTAGCTGTGCTATTCCAGTGATCTGTCTTTTCGTCTACCAGTACTAAAGACTTTTATAATGTACACTGATTGTGTAGCTTTTTCTCTTTTTTAAACACTTCTGGAATTTTTCATGTATGTTACTCATCTGGATTAACCTCAGAAACTACATATTAAAATCTATTTAATTTTTATCTTAGTTTGTTTGGGCCTTTATAAGCCATTGCAAAATCTTTTTAGAATAAGCCAGGTATTAATTAATATAAAATCAAAGCCAGTGGAGGCAATCCTGTACCAATACCTGATTTATTAGGAACAAGTTCCAGAAGAAGAGTGAAAATTCCCCCCACAAAATGTTTATTTACTTTTTTTATTTTTTATTATTATGTAAGCATATGCTTGTTGATGAAAAGGAAAACTGTATAAAAACAAACCTGTGTGCTTCTTTCAGAGAAAGTTAGGTTGTTAATATGACTTACTTTTTAGAATAGAAAGCAATCTTTGAGGAAAAAAAAGTCCTAATGTTAATGTATTTGGTAGCACCTGTGAAGAAAATTTGTACCATCAACATCCTTAATGCCCTAAAGAATATATAGAATAACTGAATGCCAACTGAGGCAGAAAGATGGGACTGAGGTTGAACTGGTAGGAATTGCTGTGTTTTTCTTTTATAGTGTTTTTGGGTTTTTTTTCCTCAGTCAGTCTCTCTCTCTCTCTCTCTCCCTCTCTCTCTCTCTCTCTCTCTCTCTCTCTCTCTCTCTCTCTCTGTCTTTCCTTCCGTGTGTGTGTGTGTGCGCGTGTGTTAGATGGTGTGCAGGAGGATGGACAGGGAGGTAGGGAGGATGCTTATGAAATAAACATATGTTTTATTTTCCAAGAAAAAACTATAAACTAAAAATTTGAAATCAGTAACAGTTATAATCTCCTTATGCATATCTGCATTTAAGATATAATATTTTCTTTCTTTCAGAAAATAGGAAAACAACAAAGCCTGATCCAAAACAACACCTTAAGATTATTCAGGATCCTGAATACAGACGACTTGGCTGTACTGTAGATATGAACGTTGCACTAGCAACTTTCATACCACATGAGTATGTTTTATATTTTACTACATATTAAAGAGTACTATTACTTGTAAACCTTTATGGATAGTATTATTTTCATGCTATTGTTAAAAGCCTGAATATAAAATGAAATAAAGTAATTCACCATAATTCTACTACTTCAAATGCATGACATTTCCCCTGTTGTCTGTGTGCTGGTCCGTGTTCCTATACATAAATGTAAAAATGTATAGAGTTGGAAAACTTCTTCAGCCATAATTAAGATCCTGATGAATATATTTAAAGTTTCTATGACCATTATTAGAAAATTTTTAAATGTAGAATTCATAAAACCATTAAATAATGTTTGTATTGCTTTATCTGTTTCAAGTAATGGGCCAGGTGCAATTAACGAATGCTGCAGTTGGTTCCAGAAGAGAATTGAGGAATTAAATTCAGAGAAGCATCAGCTCGTGAACTACCATCAGGAACAGGTTTTACCTACTTCTTTTGAACAGCTGTTTTTCTTTGAGTGTTAATACTGTTTCTTGTTGTCATTGATGTAATATAATTTCATGTTTTCTAGGCAGTTAATTGCCTTTTGGGAAATGTGTTTTATGACCGACTGGCTGGCCATGGTCCTAAACTAGGACCTGTCACTAGAGAACATCCTTTGGTTACCAGGTATTCCATTTTTGTTTTCTTCTCATTAAAGGTTAAAAATTGAAAATTGTATTAAACTCTTCAAATTAACCTAAATGTTTCCTTTAATGTGTGACTCAGTACATTTCTTAAATTGAAATAGAAGTTTTGATCTGGTAACTAAGCTTAATATTAATTAATTTTGTTAGGCACATCTTTAGTTAGAGAAACTATCATAATTATGAACCAATTTATAATCATTTACATTCATGTTTCTGGAGGACTGCATACTTACTAATAAATTCAACGTTAATCAAATTAAGCAAGCATTTAGTTCCTTATACTTTAAGTAATGTACAACATAGATTAGGCAACTGAAGTGTAGTAAAAACCTTTGCAAAATAATGTCAATACCTCAGTGATTTTCTTAATAATTTTATGAGATCTTTAAAGTTATTATTTAGAATGTTAATCAGATATGCTGTAATACTAACTCAATTTCTAAAATCCTACTAGGTTTACTCAAAATGTCTACTGACGATTTTTTTTACCTATATTGCAGTTTATTTCCCATAAATGGTGTCAAACTAATCTTTTCTATTCTATTCACTAGGTAAGAAGTTTAATTTTAATAGTGGTAATTCACATTCTCTCCAAGGAGTTTCTCTGTATGGATTTCATACTTGATTGTATCTCCCTAGATATTTTACTTTCCCTTTTGAAGAAATGCCCCTCTCCACAGAAGAATCTATGATTCATGTCCCAAATAAAGCTTGTTTTCTGATGGCACATAATGGATGGGTAATGGGAGATGATCCCCTTCGAAACTTTGCTGAACCAGGTATATCATTTTTGTTAACTTCTCTATGGATAGGGAAATAAAAGTTCACGGCAAGCTCCAAATATAAATTGTTTATTGATTTTTTTCCCCCCACTATGCTAGTGTTTTTAAAACTATTTCATTACAGATGCCAGAGGTGCATACAGTTTGAGAGAGAAGAGAAGGGATTGACAGGATGGGATTCACCTTCTTTTCCCTCCTTTCCCTTTCTACCCCTTGTCTCCTCAAAGAGAATAGCTTTTGTATATCTATTTTATATTGTGGTTCTGCCTAAGAGTTTATTTGGGCAACAATTTATTGAGTTTTTAAAAGACATTTGAGACCTCTATTATTACAAATATTTACTATAAGAGATATTTTCACTCATTAGCCAGAGGAGTATTTAAGGTATTTGAATGGCAGTTAAACTAGAAACCAGTTGTTTTTAGATTCCCTCTCACTTAACACTAACATCTTATTTTTCTACAGCTATTTCATTGCCAGGAAGAATTTTGCAGGGAACCTATCAATATATTTATTTTTTAACATTTTAGAATTAGAAGCTGTTTTAATGACATTAAATTTAATTCAGAAATCTCTTTTTTTTTTAAAAAAAAAGAGTGTAGCTTTAGATTTAAGTATCTCTGCCCTCTCCTTTCTAACCATTCTAAATGAAAAAAGACATTCTGCTCTACACCGTGGATTTAATGTAACCTATTGCCAAAAATTGGTAGCAAGGTGGAGATGGAGTTTTAAATGTTTTTGGTAGAACTATAGCTCTAAAGGCCTACTATTATTGTTTTCCTTCAAGAAGTAACTTAAATTTTTGCCATTAAGCACACATTTTTAGAAGAGACAATAAGGTACAATTTTAGCAAAATAGATATGAGATCCAAATTACTATTAACTTTAAAAAATTTTATCCCATGCTATTTTAGATGTAATTTTAACCTATATATGCTTTGTGTTAGAAATAGTAAATGTTTTTTGTTTTTTGTTTTTTTTTCTTGCGGTACGTGGGCCTCTCACCGTTGTGGCCTCTCCCACTGCGGAGCACAGGCTCCAGACGCGCAGGCTCAGCGGCCATGGCTCACGGGCCCAGCCGCTCCGCGGCATATGGGATCCTCCCTGACCAGGGCACGAACCCATGTCCCCTGCATCGGCAGGCGGACTCCCAACCACTGCGCCACCAGGGAAGCCCCAGTAAATGTGTTTTAAAAACAAGCTTTTCTTTGAAGTAAATGTTTTCATTTTGTTTCTCAAACCATTGAAAGCAAGCTCCTTTCTTAACAGGTTCAGATGTTTATCTAAGGAGAGAACTTATTTGCTGGGGAGACAGTGTTAAATTACGCTATGGGAAAAAACCAGAGGACTGTCCTTATCTCTGGGCACACATGAAAAAATACACTGAAATAACTGCGACTTATTTCCAGGGAGTCCGTCTTGATAACTGTCACTCAACACCTCTTCATGTAGCCGAGGTACAGAAAAACAATTCATCTACATTAAGAAAAGAAATTCAGTATTCTCTCCTAGCTTTCCTTAAATAGAGTATACAAATATATGTTTTCTTTTGCTAGTTGGATACCAATATTGATTTGGTGGTAGTATTGAACACTTGCATTATTTGCATAGTTCTGACAAATTTTTGATGCAGCTGTTATAGAGTACTGGGCTATAAAATGTTTGAGTTAATTTTTTTTTTTTTTTTTTTTTTTTTTTTTTTTGGGGGGTCGCGGGCCTCTCACTGTTGTGGCCTCTCCCGTTGGGGGGGCACAGGCTCCGGACGCGCATGCTCAGTGGCCATGGCTCACGGGCCCAGCTGCTCCGCGGCATGTGGGATCTTCCCGGACC